AAAAGATTCATAGCTAGACGTGGTATCCCATCCATTATTTACAGTGACAATGGAACTAATTTTGTCGGTGCCAATAACCATCTCACTCTTCTTAGAAAACATTTCTCAACACAGCCTCATGTGTTTCACGAGTTTCTTGCTTCTCAAAATGTCACTTGGAAATTTATTCCTCCCAGATCCCCACACTGGGGTGGATTATGGGAAACCTCAATTAAAAGTGCTAAGTCACTTTTGATTAAAATCACCGGTAACTCTGTATATACTTTTGAACAATTCTGCACTATTCTTGCTCAAGTAGAGGCCGTTTTTAACTCTCGCCCTCTATTCCCATTGTCTACTGATCCATTAGACCTACAGCCTCTTACTCCAGGACACTTCTTAATAGGTGCTCCCCTGTTATCTTATCCAGAGGTAGATGTTTCATGCACTCCAGATAATCGACTGAAGTACTGGCAGCAGTGCACTCGAGTTCAGCAACTCTTTTGGAAGCGTTGGACCTCGGATTACCTAAATCGGCTCCAAAACCGACCCAAATGGATTCACGTAACTCCTAATATTAAAGTCGGCGATTTAGTATTGGTTAAAAACCTTGACTACCCTCCCTTACAGTGGCCATTAGCTCGGGTGACCGAAGTTTATGAAGGAAAAGACCACAACGTTCGAGCAGTTCAAGTTCGCACGAAAAGTGGAACGTTTATTCGCCCTATCACTAAACTGATCCCCTTACCTCCAGATGAGACCTCAACGCATGTTCTTGATCCTTCTTCCACCTTATAGTAAAAATAAGGCTACAAGATACTAGACATTTCTCTGGGGGGCAGTATGGTTGTAAACTGATTTTGTTTACAACCCTGTAATTTTCAAAATAGTATATTTCCCCTTGTTCATTAACTTTACTCCACCCTGTAGGCCAAGACGTTCATTCATTCCAATACATTACAAATAAATTCTAACGGTACTGGATAATCTCTAACGGTACTCGGACCCTATGAACAATTACTTAGTACCCGATTTAGGCGACCGATGGTCGAATAAATATAAAGCGACTCTCTCTGTTAGCAACCCTCGCGGGAGAAGGATGTGCTCTTAATACTTAAATTTGTGATTTTGGTAATTGCGATTCTCAGAGCGTTCTCTCTCAAGTGTTTAACAATAAGGAAAGTTGTCTCCGCGATTGTGAACCATAACTTTGTGTAACCTTTGTGTATATTATATATTGTACCCGTTCTATAGTGTGTTTTTGTGTTAAGTATAGTACGTAGAAAAATAAATATTAGCTACAAGTTACTTGTATTCTTTACGTACAATAGACATTAAAATAATACAGTCCACTTAAAAACCCCAGAGAATACCGGCGATATAAGTTCATAGCAGATCAAAAGCACGTGGAATCGCCACTAATTCCACCCCCAACGCCGGCAATTTCTCCAACGGGTAATATGCATTGATCAAATACTCTCTTCTTGAGGTATAGTGGCATTTTGGACTTGAAGACTATGGAGTTTCGTCCGAATGCTGACCACGCTTGTTTTATTCGTCTGTTGATTTCCGGAAGTAGTGATCCCGATTTATGTATGAGCTGTCCCAGATGTATTCGTTTACTACTTCTAGCGAGGTTTCATTAATTTTTATTTCCACGTTGGCGATCAGATCATTGCACATTATTTTAGTCTTTGCTAGGTTCATTTTTAGACCTACCTCATTGCTGGCTGTATTAAGGTCATTAATTTGTAGTTGTAATTCTTCAGGACTTCTAGCAATTAGAATGATGTCATCAGCGAATCTAAGATGGTTTAGGTATTCTCCATCTATACATAGACCTTGGTTGTTCCAGTCTAATTTCCGGAAGATATTTTCTAAGGTTGCAGTGAAGAGCGTATATATATATATATATATATATATATATATATATATATATATATATATAGATATATATATTTTCCAAGGTCTTCTGCCAAACTAATTATAGATCCTGACTTTACAAGGGGTTCGCACATTGCAGGTTCCAAATATTAATACCATAATTATGTTTTCATTTGGTTGGAATTCGCCTGTTTGTATCGTTAGCCATTGTATCCAAAAAAGTGAGTTTTAGAGGGGAGAATTGTTAGCTTTCGCTCAACCCCCTATTTATCGGAGAACCAAAACTTTCTTCTTCGTCATCTTTGACTGTACTTGTCGCTGGGGTTAGTTAATCAATATCCAGTACGGTTGGCCAGGTTCCCGGTATATTACCGGATGCCAAATATGGTTGGCCAAAATTAAAGTCACATGTACGAAATCAGGAATAACCATGCATTTCTTGCAAGAATGAGACAGTTTTTACAGAAGCAAGTAGATCTATGCATGGAAACAGATGGTTATCATGTAGAGCACACGTTGTAATATTAGTTCTGCAATTGTTGTTAATTCCTTTTAAGTTTTATTTTTAAAAATCATAAATACTAAACTATTGTTTTGTTTCGTACGAAATAAATACAATTTTAATAAGTTTATATTATTTGAAATCAGAATTAAAAAATAATGTAAAACAAATTTCTTATTTACTTAAGGCAAATAAGAACAACCATTGAATATCTGAATTTATTGATTTGCGAAAGCCAACATGGTGTTCGTGTGCGGACGCACAATTGTTTTTTCTCGAAAACGGTACATGATAAAGGTAATATATTAGGATGATTAGTGAAATATGGATAGAAGCATTACACGAGGTCCAAGGTGGAATCAAGGTTAACGGAACCAGCATAGACAACATCAGATACGCTGATGATGCTGCCCCAATAGTAAGCAATGCACACGGATTAAAATATATAGTATATTTAAAGAATAAAATGGAGTAAATTCTCAGAATACTAATCTTCGCACCTCGAAATACATAGGCGTGCACATCTTCTAACTAAAACGTAATCTTAAGAGAAAAGTTTGCGTTAAATTTATTTGGATATTTAGAACAAAGTAATTAATCTAATCCAATACTGGTTTAAAATAAAAAGATACACATAAAAAGAATAAAAATTATATTATTTGTGAAACGTACAGTTAATATAAAATAATAAAATACAATAAATTATACTGAAACGTAAAATACATACACAAAACTGTAAACTTTTATATATTCTATAATAAATAATAATTTTCTTAATACTAATAATATTGGAAATAAGAATAAAAATTATATTAGCAATAAAAAATAAATAAAAAATAAACAATGAAGTTGTCGGCAATTAGTTCAAATGTAAAATAAACTTCTGAGCTACAGTTTAAAGTTAAGCTTCCTCATATTCTGTTTTAGACGAAGTGTTATCTGATCCGGGATGAATTATTATAGGTTCTATACTGTTCTATTATATGATCAGGCTCCCACATATTTTTCTCAACATCCATAACGTGATTAATACATTTTTGCCAATGTTCAGTCGTTACTTTGGATATTGATTTATAAAAAAGAATAGTAACATCAGACAATTTAAAAGTTGTATTATTTCGAGCAACGTTACTTTTAACTTCGGCCCATACTAATTCAATCGGATTTAACTCGCAATGATACGGTGGTAGGCGAAGTATTTAAATTCTTCATTTTTTGGCTATTTCCTCAATGACATTGACTGATAGTCAAAGACTAAATTCTTAGAAGTTAGTCACATTGCATTTCATCACAGGTCTTTTTTTATTCAAACAAAAGTAAACCCTCCTTAAGAAATTCATTCATACTACCTATATGGGTAACAATTAATCTTACCTGTTGGTTAATTGAAACCAAGTGAATATCCTTCCAGAAATGCTTGTCGATATGTTTTTATAGTTTTGTCTTTCCAAACTCTCCCTACAGAATGCCCTTCATTAACCCACGTTTCATCTAAATAATAAATGTTCTTATTTCCTGTCTTCATTTTTTTATTTTTCTAAAGTAGTCTCGTCTCCAACACACACTTTTTTCGGAATCGATAAGCATTGACTGTCTGCCCACTTTTTCATACTTAAAGTTAAACTCATGCAAAGCTTTCCAAAGTTTGTCTCTACTTATTGTGGGTAAATCGGGATCGTCGGTAATGGCTTGTAAAACTTTATCTAAAGTTATTATTTGTTTGTTAAAAAAAATGAGTGGACTATACTACGAATTGTATTTTTGAAAAATTCATCCACATTCACTTTCAACAATTTTGGTCTTCCTGGTCTCAGTTTCGGTGGCGTTATACCAGCTGATTTTTCCTCTTTTAAAATGTTATATACAGTTGATTTTGAATATCCCATTACTTTAGACGAAATTTCAACTATACTATCAACAGTATTGGAAGGATTGTGTTGGTTAAAATAATTGTAGACGTTAAGGATAACACTCTTTTCGTTAAGTGATAAATGATTCAACTTTAATTTTTTAACTGGTGTATAATCACACGTTAATTCCATATTCTATAAACTCACTATTCACTCTTGCAAAAAATAACTGTGTCGGATCTCTTCACTCGACACTTATAATCGACTAAACAAAAATTTTCTGATATTAATGAATGACTATTTAAAGACCATTAACGGGTCAATAATGGGTCATTATCGTAACGACAAAAATGACCATAAATAACGTTACTAAAATAAACAGGTTTATATAAATATAATATGCTTTGAAAATGGTTTAAATATCTAACACACCGAAACAAATAATGTAATACCCTTAAAGTACGTCTATTACCAGCTGAAAAAACCCTAGCCTACACAGTTCTAACAATAGCAGGTATTTAAATTTTACGATACTCTATGTGACATGGAAAAATTTCTATACCTAAATAGTCAAACTCAACGTAAAATAAGCTAAAATATTAACGTTGTACGAAAAGCACACGTACTAAAATATGCTTACTAAGCATAATAAAAGAGAGCAAAATACAATACTGGTCTCATGTACTGAGAGGTGAAAGATATGAAATATAAAGCCATATATTTTTTATGTTTATGTAATCGACATTTATACTAACTTTTTATTTATATTATTTCATGATAATCAGAGATGGATTTGGATTTGTTACGAGCGCTGATACAAATATACGAAGAACGAAGTCCTTCAGATTACTTAAGAAGCCAGGTAAACAATATAAATTTTAATAATTAATTTTACTATTTGTAGATACTATTATACTATTATATTTACTACTTGTGGTAACATAATAGAGGTGAAGGCATCGCGAAACCACACTGTTAACTATTTCCCAGGATATTGCTATCGCGAAGAGAACAAAAATCACGGTCTAGTCTTGGACAACCCTTTGGTGGGTTCTAAGAATCCCACAGTTCAAAATAGCAAAATTCACCATTAAGATAGGTACAGTAGAGCTTTATACTTCCGATAAATTTAAAAATCTTGGCCTGGTTCAGTAATAGCAGACACAAACATGGTACTGTTCGTTGTAAGATATTTCGGATTTAATCTTTTAGGTATAGTTGTATACAGGGTCGGACTTATATACTGATATATTTTATCAAAATTACGACAATCCCACAAAGTAAAAGAAAAATACATACACTGTGTGTCAGCCAAATGGAATAAATTAGCTAATAAAGAATTGAAGAAGTATTAGAAAAAACGGTCGAACACCTCGATTAGTATTTATAGTTGCGCATTTTTTTTCATACAAACTTTTTATACGGGGTGTATCAGATAACTGTGGCCAATACCAACTTATATATATATATATATATATATATATATATATATATATATATATATATATATATATCCAGTTTTTTAGGCGTTACGCCCGTCCGGTAGGGATCTATGGAGGAGTATCACCGAGCCGCAAGCCCTTATCTCTTGCCGTACTGCTCCACCATAAGCCGATCAGATCCCAGCATATTCTAGTCTAAGAAGCCGCAGATTCATCTAGAATTTTAAACTGCTGCGTTAGACTTTTTGTTTTCTGTACACCGAGCTGGGGCTCAATCCCACATCCACTGAATCATTCGACAGTGAAGCGAATGAGAGGCAGCCGCACAGCCCGCTGAGCTATCTGACCGGCGCCAATACCAACTTGCTTATTTTAAATAGAACACTCTGTATATTAATTAATTTTTTGATTCTTTAGATTATTTTAGATATTTTTTGAATACAATGTGCTATACCTATCTTTAACTGCTTCGGAAATATTAAGTAAAATACAAAAATTCACATTCAGAAAAAAAAAATTATTTGTCGAAAGTCGCTACCACTGTCCTAATACCTTTTGCCAATTTAGGTCTTAGTCATGATAAAGTAAGCAAAAACCGTTTAAGCATTCCTTTTTATTCATATGTTACAAAAAACAATAAAAAATTGTTTACTTTGGTTTAAAACGCCATTTTTTTATTGTTCCATGACAGAAGTAGTTGTCAGTGATATAGTCGTTTGAAATTCATTAACCGCAAGCCAGAAAAATAGCCCATTTAACAGAAATGCACAAAGTCAAAATTATACAGATGATTGGCTATGGAGATAAGACACGGACGCAAACCGAAGTAGCAAAAAAATCTCAAGGGACATTTAGTAAAATAGAGAGACAATTCCACGAGCTGGGTCATGTTAGCAAGTTAAAAAAGCTGGCAATGCAATAAGTGAAGATACCAAATTGGCTGTTATGTTTAAGTTTGAGGAACATTCACATATATCTGTTCGAAAAGCAGCCCCAGTACTCGATCTTAGCTATTCCTCGGTTATTCGAATATTATAATAAAACAAAATGCATCCCTATACAATTATACACGTTCAAGAGCTCATGGAAGATGATTTTGACTGAATAATGCATTGTTGTGAACAAATGACGACAATGTTAGACAGCAATGTGATCCAATTAAAATATGTTTTGTTTTCTGTGCACCTTTACTATTCATGCTAATCGTAAAAATTGCCGCTATTGGTCCAGGGAAAATCTTCACTGGTTGAGAAGATCCTTAATATCCTAAAAAGATTAACGTGTGGGCAGGAATTACTGAAGATCAGATCATAGGTTTCTTTTTCATAGATGGCAATTTGAATGGCGACCAATATTTAGCATTACTCCAAAATATTGTAGTGCCAACGTTGGCCAACTTGAATCCTGATCCAGGAAACCCTTAAGTTCCAGCGAATGTGATATGGTTTCAACAAGATGAAGCACCACCCCACTACCAAATCCTTGTCCGGAAGTACCTTAACCAAATATTTCCAAATCGGTGGATAGGGAGGCGAGAATCGATGGAATGGCCACCACGATCCCCCGATTTGACGCCATGTGACTTTTTCTTATGGGGATATGTGAAAAGTATTGTTTACAAAACTAAATCCAATAACTAAGCTGACTTACGAAGGCAAATAACGCTTGCGAGTAGATCGATCACACCTAAGATGTTAAGTAACGTTAGAAGGAATTTCTATTCACGGTTATGGCGTTGCCAAAATGTTCGTGGGAAGCATTTTGAATATCTCCTACACTGACATTATTATTTAGATTTGTATTATTTAGAAGTTTTTGAATATGTTGTAGCGACTATCGGTAAATAGATAGTTTTCTTTTCTAAATGTGAATTTTTGCATTTTAGTTAATATTTCCGAAACAGTCAAAGATAAGTATAGGACATTGTATTTAAAAAATGTCTAAAATGATCTGATAAATCTAAAAATTAATTAATATACAGAATGTTCTATTTAAAATAAGCAAGTTGGTATTGGCCACCGTTATCTGATACACCCCGTATAAAAAGTTTTTATGGAAAAAAATGCGCAACTATAAATACTAATCGACGTGTTCGACGGTTTTTTCGAATACTTCCTCATTTATTTATTAGCTAATTTATTCCATTTGGCTGTCAGTATCTATCACTATCATCGCTATCGTTTAAATCTATAACTACTCTACTTATAATGTTTTGGAACTGTAAGTATTTTTCTTCTAGTTTTTTAACATGCTATATACATTTTTTCCAATTATCTGCTGTAATATTATTACTTTCAGTCTTAATTAAATCTACAACAGTCAAAAATGATTTAGGTGAATTATTATTTTTACTCGCGCTACTTTTTAATTGGGACCACAACAATTCTATTGGATTCAGTACACAATACTTTTTTTTTCATTGGCTTTGGCTTGAAACCTTTAGCCACGTAATTACATATAAATATTAGTATTCATTCATACAGGATTGTACAAGGAGGACACTTTTCACGCTCAGGGATTCATCAGAGCGGCTTTATTGTAACAAACAAGACATAAACCACGGTTAGGTAGGTGGACAACATATATGGTAAACATACAAAGGAAATGTTCAAGCATACGATCAATTTTACACTCATACCTTTAATTTAATTGTTACAAAAAATATCATAATTATTTTAAAGATTTTTATATTGTCTTCACTTAATAGGAGATTTACGTTTAATGGTGTACTTAATCCCTCTTTTATCAAATCTTTTATCAGCCACGTGCTTGTATTACGATGTAGTGGGCAGTTGGAGAATATGTGATTTAAATCAGCTATACTAGTTCCACACTCACATCGGTCTGTTGGGAGAACTCCTATTTTGTGTAGATGTTTCAGAAAACATCCATAATCTACTTTTAATCTTAAGACAGTCGACACTGTGTTTCTGCTTAGTGTAACATCTTTATAAAATTGTTTTACATCTACTGTGGGTTGTAATTTGTATAGATTAGTGCCCCTGCTTTCACCAAACTGAATCCATTGTCTGTCCCATTTAAATTTAATATGTTGTTTGATATAGGCAAGTAGGTCACATCTGTTAAATTCTTGTATCACCATATGTGGGTGCTGTAATGGATTTTTAACTATAGAATCAGCAATAGTATTGCCAACAATATCTGAGTCTCCCTTGATCCATAGAAATTTAGTACCATATGGATCTGATAGTTTTAGTAACTGTTGAAAAATTTATAATATGAATATGTTGTTATTGATTGTGAATTTAAAGTTTTGTAAGGAGTGCAATACTGACAGTGAATCACTGCATATGAAAATTTTGTTCAAAAATCTTCATTTTTGGTACAAAGTAAGCACTGGTTGTACATGTTGGTGTTTTTGACCCGTCTGTATAGATCACAATATGATCTGAATAGCCACTTGAGATTTCTTTAAGAGTGGTGTAGCAAAATTCGTTTTGGTATTTTGGGATAATAATATTTGTAGCTAGAACACTTGTTAGATGTGGTATATCCAACGATTCCCAGATAAGATTACAAGGAGAATTTATTAACTTCAGTTCGTTGCAAGTTATAATTGCTCTTGCAAGTGGTGGAGAGTTTTTTTAACGAAGTATGTAGATGTTAAATCAGCTGTATTTAATTCATTAATTATTTTTGCATTATAAGTGCCACGATAATGTTGGTTTAGGAAATATTTGCTTGCCAGATATTCTCTGAGTAATGAGAGTGGATTTTCAGATGCTAGAGCTAGGGTGGCTTCATTTGGAGTGCTTTTCATCAATCCTAACACAATCCTTAGAGCTTTAAATTTAATTCTATCAAGTTTAAGTAAATTGGTTATGCTAGCTGACCCATATACCACACAACAGTAATCTATTATAGATCTTATATAGGCTCGATAAAAATTCAATGCAATGTTTTGATCTGCACCCCACGATCTCTTACACACCATTTTAAGAAAATTAATACCATTTTCGCAGCGACCAATTGTATAATTAAAATGTTGAGTCCAAAGCAGTTTCCTGTCAAGTATGACACCAAGATATCTAAATTGCGAAACAATTGGACTATCATTGCCATGTAAGGTTACAGCGTGATGTTTAATAGGGTGTTTTCTTGAAAAAAATACTATGGTACATTTTTGGTACGAAATATTGAATCCATTTAACCAAGTCCAATTATCCAAGTTGTACATAATATGTTTGAGTTCAGTAGTGCTTTCACTGTACGTTTTCTTATGTGAATAGATGACAATATCATCAGCATATTGTAAGCAAACAATATTGGGAGACCATAAATTGTGCAAATCGTATGTGCAGTACGCAATACTAAGCAGGTAATCTGAATACTTTGTGGATATAACTCTCAGCTAGCCTGTCGATAACATGCTTTTTTCAACATTTAAGTAATTTTAATA